TGATGCTTTAGCCAAACAGGGGGTTTCTAGGGAAGATCTTTTTTGTGCTTCTTTGTAAGTTGTTATTAATTTGGAAATCTGTACTTAACTAGCCCGGAGAGGTTGCAACTCGTGCCTTTCCTTGGGGACTTTGTACTATTGTCTATTGCTGATTAATAAAATTATTTCAATTATAAAAAAAAAWATATATWTTTTTTTAAACTGAATTAACCAGAAACTAGAAAAATTGAAGCCAAAATTTTTTGGTTTGGTTTTTTCAGTTTTAACAGAATAGTGCTCACCTCTACTGTTTAGGTGTGTTCCTAAAGCTGACAATTATCTAACCAACACGCTTTCTGAGGAAGAAGTTTGCACTCTGCATGTTCTTATTTTCTCCCCTTTCATTCAATCTTTTAGAGAGCATGGGTTTTTATAGCCATTGATAATATTCTTTGGTCTTTGTCACTAATAAGGATTATTATTCTATTTTGATACAAATCTACAATCCATTTCTAGGTTCTTTCTGAAGTGAGTTTGACAGCCTATTTTATATTCTTGCTTATGTATGGAGCTATCCCGAAAGTCAAGTATATGCTTTACCATTTTCTTAGCCTGTAAAGCATAAAACAAAGCTTTATATTTTGTAATTACTATGTCCTAGTCTTCCTTCTGGAAGTAATATTTTATGAAGTTTTTGTCTTTGTGCATTGCAGTGCTCCTCATAATCTTCTACTTTTGGGCAAAGTTGATCCTAATCATCCAGATTTGGAATCTCGTACTATTGGCATATTACAACCATCTATACTTCAACACAGAATGTCTTTGGTAAGGTCAATGTTTTCCTTCATTGGAAATTTCTAATGTACTATGTGTGTGTGTGTTGTGCTTAATGGAAGATTCACTGAAATTATCATGTCGTATGGAAAATTATGTCCAACTTTCTAATAATTGAAGTCTAATGCCATTTATCCTTTTTTTTATGTGAAATAGACATCTTAGCAGTTAGCACTTTCATTATCTCATAATGAAAATTTCTAAGTGCTTATTTGAATAAGCACTTATTTACATTTGGCACCCAACTTTTTCAAGTGCTTATTTTTTAAAATAAGCACTTATTTTATAAAATAAGAACTTATTTTATATTGGGTGTTTGGTAGTCTTTTTCTCTAATAAGCACTTAAATAACCATTTGTGAGCATTTTGTCCTTCATTTTCTTTCAAAATTTCAAAACATACCCTTTGAAAGTACTTTTATTAAATTACTTTTTTAAAAACACTTTTATGAAAGTACTTTTATGAAGGCACTTTTGTCATAAAAGTGCTTTTGTAAAAGTGCTTTCATAAAATTGCTTTCGTAAAAGTACTTTCATAAAAGTGCTTTCGTAAAAGTACTTTCTTAAAAGTGCTTTTGTAAATGTACTTTTATAAAAGTGCTTTTGTAGAGGTGCTTTTATAATAGTGCTTTTGTAAAGTGCTTTCATAAAAGTACTTTTATAAAATTCAACTAGGGACAATTATTTTAAAATTTGGTAGAAAAATGTTGAACAAGTGTTTATTGTATAACCACTTAAAAAAAGCTGGAAATTTGGGCTTAAAAAATAAGCCCTTATTTTTAAAATAAGCACTTATTTCAGGCTTATTTCCCTAATACCAATAAGTGCTTAATGGCCCAAATAAGCACTTATTTTGAATAAGCACTTGTTTTTAACCACTCCCAAACATGGCCTAAATTTGATAGCATTTCTCTGGAACTATAAGCTGTAGTGATGACACAAAGGGCCTTTAACGTTACAATTTATCCCTTGTGAATTTTATTTTACAGATAATGTGAGATATAGCTTAAATGTCATTGTAGTAGTTTGTAGGGTTCAAACATCCTTGGATTGCACATGCTATAAGTTTCCACTGTTCTGCAATTTTCTTTCCTCGTAAATCTCTAATGCTGAGTGGTTTCTGTTCCAGGTAAGTGCATATGCTGCTTTATGTCTTACAAGCAGTGGTGGACCAGACTTTAAACAACAAAGGGAGTGTATAAGCCCAGAAACCAATGAACCTATGTTTACCAACTTCACAGATAATTTCTCGGGGACTCTAGATTACATTTTATACACAGGTAAGAAACAATTATTATGATTTTGTTTTCTCATTTTGAGCCTTTCCCCTTAAGACTTATCCTTATTGGAACTTGGCCAACTTTTTGCACTTGATCCTTCGCATCCTCTTAATATTCATCATTCATTTTTTCTTTGAAAAGGGCTTTTAGAGAAAAGATATGAACTACACCCCTGTTTTCCTGTAAGGGCTACACACAATTCTTTGAAAAAGAGTATCCCTTATCCACAGCCAGGGGGTTGTAAAACGAAGTCTTCACAGATCTCCATGTCCTTCCTGTGTATATTCTTCAATTCTTTATGACACAACCATCTTACATCCATAAGTTAAAAAAGCTCGGTTATAACTTTTTTTTTTAGGGGGGGGGTCTCACTGTATTCAGCATAAATTATATTGTATTTGTATCCATCATCATGGTGGCACCGAGATTTTTGTCTCTTTCATCATTGTTTTTCAGTTTCCTTGTTTGGTTATTTAGCAGTAACTTTTATGCATCATTTCTCCGTATGTATCGCTGATTTGATTAGCTTGTGATGCCTGCTATTAGTATTCTTCCTAAAACAATTGACAATATGTTTGCCATAATGTATAATGTATACCCAAAAGAGCTATACTTCCTGCATGTTTTAAGAACATAACTGCTTTTGAGCAATTGAGAGAAAGGATAAAAAGGGGAAATGGAGGGATGCCTTAGCTCCCAGGTTTTGGGGATAGGTTAATCTTCTTTATTAAATGCATAAGGATTGTTTCAAGTTTAAATTTAATCTAGTGAGTTGATCCTTGACCATTTTTTTTTTTCTGGATAATCTCTTTAAGTTGTCCCACTTCCCAGAGAAATATGTGATATATTGTTTTCAGTATCATCCAACTGGATTTGATTAGATGTAGTTTGTCAAATTATTGGTCATTCATTACATCAGATGTACTAGATGTAGGTGATGTTGCCAGGAGTCCTTGATCATATAGTCATTTGTGCATGAGTGCTCAATCTTGTATTCCTGTTTGCATTAGGAGTTGGTGCTACATGGGCAAAAAACACAATATACGGATGGGTATAGGTGCCAATAAGACTGGAAAAATTCTCTTGACCATGGAGATACAGGGAATAAATTCCTCCATAATTCCAGGGTTTTATTCCTTGTGGCAAATGCTATGATCTGCATCATTGTTCACGGCAACATGGTTGTAATAACTTGTCCCCGCCGARAGTAGACAAGATGGTCAGAACGTCCCTTTGTCACCATGAGTGTCAAACTTCTTTCACTTCAAGAGCCACACGCAAAAGGGAAGGATTCCGTTTCCATGTGGTATCCTGTCTTGGATTTGGTAGCCAATAGTGTGGTAGACTTTGGTTTGGGAGTTTAATTTTGTAAATGATGGATCATATAATTTTTGTCTTTCGTTTTACTTTTTCTGAAATACAGTATACATTTCTGTTTAGCATCCTGCCTTTTAACTGCATAACTATTGAAATACTGAGCTACATTTATACGTGGGCTATAATGTTAGAAGTATTCCATTTCAACGATTTTTCTGTCTTATCATCCTYGGGAAATTTAATGTCTTTTCATGTTTCCCAAACTTTACAAGCCAAATAAAATCATGGTTTTACTTATTCTATATGCTTGAACTCTTACCTGAGAACTTCATTTTTGCATGTTGGATATTCCCTATGATTGATCCCTTTTCTGTAATTTTGCTGATATACTTGGGCATTCGGAAACAGCGGACAGGTTGATGGTTGAAGGTCTGTTGGAACTTCTCGATCAGGAATCTTTAAAGAAGCATACTGCTCTTCCATCACCAGAGTGGTCATCGGACCATATAGCACTCATGGCAAAGTTCCGTGTGAAGCCCCTCCTTGGGTTGAGAAAAGACGCTGAACTTCCTCATCTCCTGTGGTAAAAAGAGCCAAAGCTAACATGTAAGTGATTAGAGTTGGGTGTAAAGGGCGGTTAATTTTTAGGCGAAGATGGGTCAGTTTTCAGATGATCAAGTTCTTTGCCACCATTATAGGCTTAGATGGTATGCTGTGTGGAAGGTCTGGAACGACTCACATTTTATAGTGTTACAATAAGGAAATTATTCTATTATTTTCACTTTCATAGTTTCATATTTATCAGGGTTGACATTTTATCTTTACAATAAACTAATTGTTTTTCTTAACAAAAAGAGGCAATTAGCTTCTACAACTTCACACGCATAACGATTCACATGACTTGATCACTAGAGGGACCCGAAACTAATACAAATTCTTATACTCTTTTGAAGTTCAACTTTTGGTTGGGTTGATGCTACCGTCTAGATTGCAACACTTATTATGAGGTGGTGTTCTGGTAAATAGAAGAGTCAAAGTTTCAAAAATGAGTTCCAAAGATACTTGAGGATGGATTTGATAATTGGGTCTCGTCTTGCATTAAAACGGGTTAATTTAATGAACCTGCAATGCCTCTGCGCGTGCGCTTTCAATAAAGATTTAGATCTTTACAGGCTGGGCCTTACAGTACGAGGAATGGATGACATATGGTAAAAGTTCAAATGGCATTTGGTGTCGTGGTTTTAGGGGCATGGAACTAGTTGAGTCTATAAGCAAAGCAAATCGTAGAGCGAGGCGTCAATCTTGTTGGTCTATAGGATGGTTGGGAATCTGAGTTCATTTCATTCTTTCATTTTGGACAGGATGTTCATAGAATTATTTTCTTTGATTTCTCTGTTCCTCACTGGCATTGCCCTAGCTAGTAGCTGCTAATACGTGTTGGTTGTTGCTTCATTTTATTTTTGATGATAAGATCCGTTACTTCATTTCTTTAGTTATATGGGGGGTTCTTAGGTGAAGCAGGGCATAATGTAACACTCCAATCCTGATTATCAAACGCTAATATGGTGATTGGTGCATGGTAAATGGTCATCTGGGACCTTTTTACCTCCAAAAGGTGGAGAGAGGAACAGGTGTTGGGGGGTCCCAAACATCTTGCCTGACGGAACTTCTAGGTCATTTATTGAAYTTCTTTAATCTTATTTAAAACTTATTTAATCAACTCAACTAACAACCTGGTGTAGCGTCTTAAAGTCGACTTGTGTACGGAATAAGTTAAAAAAAACCAGGAACTTTCCATCTGGAAATGAACTTCTGGGTTCTGGCCCCCATCTCTTGTCCTCTAAATTTCTGCCCTAACGACCTTTCTACTTGTTGATAGTGTAAGGGTATCTTTTTATTTATACAATTGAAGTAGTGATTGTTTTTTTTTTTTGGTAAGAAGGTTTAAAGTATTGTTAAGTATTAACTTATATGTATTGGTTTTTTAGCAAAATGTTGGCAGTGTTTGGGCGGTATACATAAACCTGTTTTCTAGAATTCCTAAGGCTGCATTTTTTAAGAGTGCAAATCTGATCGGTTTTACATGGATAAATTTTGTTTTGTGTTTGGTTGTGATAGGTATAAAGATGAATTTCAATATTGGAATCTACCTTTTGGAGAATCAAACTTTGCTCATATTTTAATTGCAAAAACGTTAGAAAAAACAAAATTACTTTCAGTTTCAGTACTAAGACATTCCTATCAAATAGCTGCAAAAATAAATTGGARTACAAATTCATTTTGATTCTGCATTTGCAATCTTTAATTACCAAAACGCAGCCCAAATGAAATACATGAAATTTCAAATCAAAACCTTATTTGTTCAAGCTAGGTAGGTATATTTGAAAAATCGAATATATGACAGGTTTGAGTACTTTGTTATAATGCGCATGCAGATGCAGGACATGTCCCTTACTTTAGAAAACCAAGTGATTGAAGTATTGGGGCAGTTTGAGAATATTTGAAGTGGATGAAATGAATAATCGCTAATTGCTTTGTCTTTCAATGGATAATATAATCATATGGTGAAGGAAGGTATAAATTCAACCCAACAAGACATTCAAACCAGTTCCAAACTCAAAACCTACTTGACTGAGCCAAACCCAACAGGATATTCAAACCAGTTCCAAACTCAACCCAACACTCATTCAGTAACTAACAAACGACTATACGGTACAATAGTTTAAAGAGCAACGAGATGCTGATTTTGGCACGTCCCTTTTTTTTCGAAAATGGCAATACGTCCCACTGAGACCGAGAGAAGACACTTAAAAGGTTAAAGGTGTCTTTTGCCTACATTGACTTAGGTCTGTGCGATGTGCCCTTTTGTAAAAAAGGGGATGTGCCCAAATCACTCTCCCATGACACACGAAAAATGAAAAAAAGATTTTGTAATATTGAGTATCGTTCTCGGCCGGATGTTAATATAAAGTACTTGATCGTACAAGACCACAAGTGACGTCGGAGGGGAAGGGTGGCTGTGTGTTAATAACTTACAGAGGCTGAGACGAGGTCACGTTCCGATAATCAACACCGAAAAGGTTTCACGTTAACCTAAAAAGATACATGTATAAACAAAGGTCTCACTAGAATTTAGTAATCTTTTTACCTTACATGCACGTCAGGTTCACGTAAAGTTGTAACACATGCCTAATAAGTAATAAAAACTTGAGTTTTTCAGATTCCAAATTAAAACCAAACCTGCTAATTAATATGAGACTAAGTACACAGTTTTATCCATTTAAATATTGAACATTGGCTACTTCTTCATCGCACCATCGATCACCTTCCCTTGCCCGGACCGGCCCCTTCTTTCACATTAGATCAATCCTTACACAAAACCCATTTCTGCTTGTAAATTTACATCATCGATCAGAACTTATGCTCTCCATCTCTTTCTCTCCTACTTTCTAATTTCTACTTTTATTGCCTGGTTTTGTTTTTTTGGTTCTGTTTTTTCTTACAGGAGGAAGGTGAGTTTTGGGGGGAGATTAGGAAAAGACAAAGACTTTGGGTGTAAGGTAGTATATATATAAGTTGGGCTCGACCGATCAGCTGGCTGAAAGTAGAATAATTAGGGCTTAATTAATCCTTGCAACACAACAGCCTAATCCTTGGCTTAAATAGGTTTGGAGTCTGGTCTGGTGGGTGCATGAATTTGCAGTTGGGGCACGCAGGAGACGACTTGCATAGCATGACCAACATATGACACCGCTTGCACACCGCCGCGACCATCTCCTGTTCATCATCCGCTTCCAAGGACATCCACGATGGAGTTCTTGTCACACCACTGCTGCAATTCTTAGACTGGTGCGGCTGATCGTCCGAATTGTGCGAGAGGCCATTCGTCTCAGCTGCAGGCTTGATCCAATTGTCGTCATCTCCTTGACTCCTGACCGGCTCGCATGTGAGATTTAGCTCCAGGTCTAAGCTTATGTGTCTGGGACTACTCGACCTCTCTGGGCTTTGTCTTGGGTCTTTACAGGTTCTCATCTGGGTCCTGGTGTTATAGAAGTGTATCTCCCCAGACTGCAACACAACGAAGCATTAGTTTGTTATGTGTAGATAGTCTACTGCTCACGTCTATATGTAATAGGATGAGGATCTGCTGTAATTGGAAGCGGAGATAATATATTATATATATATATATATATATATATGTTGATATTTGAGATAAAGATATACCTTGATATCGAGGCATCGTTGCCACTCCACAGGTAAGGGCCTTTCGAGTTGGAGTTCAATATCAACTACGGCCTTTGATAACTTTGGTCGCTTCTCCAAGTCTTGTTGATCTTCTGTTTTTTCCCATCTCCTCTTCTTTGATGAATTCTCCAACTCTGGCATAGTATTCCTTTGATTTACAGAGATGAAATTTTGAAAGGAAACCATGGGTTCAGCTCTCTCTCTCTCTCTCTCTGATCTCTCCCCGGGCCTCTCTATGTATGGCTAGCTCCGCTGTTTGATCAAATGCCGAATCCTAAGCTGGTTTATATAGAGTGAACTTGATCCACATTTGCAAGCCAAAGACTGAAAGCGAGAATCTAATGGAGCAGCTTTAAAAGGACATTAAAAGGTCCCACCTCTCCTCTCCTCTCCTCTCCTCTCCTCTCCATGTGTGTGTGTGTGTGCGCATTGGATTGAGCTTGGCTCTCTATGGTAAACGTAGCTAGCTCAGGAGTGGCTCTTAATTAAAGCCAGGACAGCCTCTATTCTCTCTTATTTAAAACGAGGCCTCAAGTTAGTTTTGATGGAAGAAGACTACCCAACCAGCTTGAGTGCTTACGTGCCATGCAGTCATGAGCGCTTGAATACATAACGTCGTTGAGCAGTTTAAGGCTTTAAGCCAAAGCCAAGCCGATCGAGCTTAAAGAGTTATGACAGGCGGTGAGAGAGAGAGAGAACAATCATGCTCTTCACATACATAAGGAGGGAGGGAGGGATGGAAAGATCATTTAATGGAGGAGACTGTATACGGTTGAAGAAGGCTTCAATGCCTATCGCTCTTCAATAAATCCAGCTTCCGCATTTGGATCGCGCAAAGAACTAACTTTAAAGGCTCTCAACACCCTTAAATCAAGAGCTATTAAAACTATCCCAACCTCTTGAGCCATGAATTAAATATCTCTCTCTCTCTCTCTCTAAAATTTTGAATCCTCTTTAAATAAAGGCTACATTACCAGAATACCCATATTTAATTACTTTACCATTTAATTTTTCTCTTCCTCGTCTTCTTGAGTACTTGACCACCCTAGCCATCCAATTTCATTTACTCTTTCATTCATTTTTTTTTTCTTCTTTTTCTTTTTATCTTTTTTTTTTCTTTGGAAGAGCCCTAGCTCCTAAATTTACTTATATTGTTATTACATATTTGATTATTTTTATTCACGTGTATTTTTTGAGAACTTGCTTAAATAATAACTTGTGTATATATCCAAAACATAACATAATTACCCTTTTACCCTTTATAGAATAAATTAATCATCTTGGTTTTTCTTCTCAATATTAGTTCATCCAATATCCATTTCCGACTTTTACCTCTTGGGATGCGCTTTAAATGTTGAAGGTYTCATGGTACAAGGCTCGGGAATACCAATTAGCCAACTGGAATGAGATTTTATTTATCAGATTTCCTTCTCCTTTGTCCTTTCACTGAGAAATGTAGAATTTACTTTTTTATTTATTTTTTCTTCTTGAAAAATATTGTGACAATGTACAACTCAGGACCCAATAACTTGTTGAGTTAGATCAGTTGATCGCATTTATTGGTGTTAGGTTTGTGATGAGATTGGCTGAACTTGAGGCACGAAAATTAATTAACTTTGTGGTGGACGGATTTGGGTATGGAATAATAATGTCCATGAGGCCCATTAGGCAGAAATGAAGCTGATGAAGCTCCTAAACAAATCAGGATTCCTTAATTAGTCGATCTTTCATTTTTCAAAATTAAACCCCCAGAAAGGAAAATTGGTAAACCCAGTAAATCACTCAAAATTTGTCAACAGGAGGGCCAATGAATGCTCAAGTAAAGACCAGCCATACGCCACCCACCAAACACTATGACAAGGGAGAGGGCAACGCTGGTGACAAGTCTAGTGTCTCATAAACACCATTCATTAATTACTAATTTAATACTACTTCAATTCTTCAAAGTACAATTACTACTTCACTACTACTTCAAATAGAAAAGAGGTTCAATTCATTCTGTTAATGAATTCTTTCCAAAACATGGGTATTTGTGTAAATCACCCTGTAAAAAAATAAAAAAAAAGAAAATTAGGGAGACAAAGGGGGATCATATTCACATCATCCTGAGAGAAAAAAAAGAAAAAAAAAAGAGGCAAACCCCATTAAAGGCTTCAGTAGGAGCTGGTCATTTGGCTTAGGGATGAACTCCACCTGCCTTCATTAACTCAACTTGAATTCTATTAAATGCAGAATTCAAGGATGAGCAATGGCACACCTCGCTTTCTACAATATATCTTTCTTCATCACTCCCACCACCGGTTTCTGTTAAATGCTCCCAACCCACCTCCCCTCCTACTTCATTAAGCTTTCGTTTTCCAATTGTGGGAAACTCCTTCAAACTATTCCTACTCATGAGAATAAATGTCAGAAGCTACTCTTGTTTCCAAAATATATTAATGGGACTGCCCCTTAAAATTTTCATCCATGTAGTTATTGTTGTAGATATGTAGTGTGTCTTTATTAAAGGAGGCCTCTATATCCATCAGGAAATGGAATGAGACCAGAGACCAGCTCATTGTAATATATTACAGTGGCCCCCACTAGATGATCTCCTAAGCCNCCCCCCGATCCATCTAATCAGTCATTTCGGGTGGCTACGATCCTCCGGATGGTTATCAAATTGGCATAAGATTGTGGGCCCTTTTCCTTTTGCATTCCAGCCACCTAACATTTACTGTTTGGGGTCTATCAGAGAGGGACCCTCTTTTGAGAATAAATATGTGTGCATGGTACGTGGCCTTGAAATTATTAACCGTAGATGGTGTTAAGAAATAATCTCGTCGTACCTCTAAGGAAAAAAAAAATCTGGCCTACCCACAAAATACAGACTTAATGGCTTAATGAATAATGGCATGGACACTGCAACGTCATAACTGTGTGCTTATTGGTTGAGTTGGTGCACCAGTAAACTGAACTTCTTAAAATCTAACATTGAGTCACTCAATTTGAGTTGATGTTATTAAATCTTAAGGCTGTGTTTGGTTTGATAAAGAATAAGAGAGAAACAGAAAATTTAGAGAAATTTTTTAAGAAATTTCATGAAATTTGTTTAGAATTTTTCCTCAACTTTTTGTTTGGCTCTTGTTTTCTTCTCAACCAAAACGTAGTCTTCCGTTTGGCTTTCAGAGAAGCATGCTTCAAACTTGTTAATAATTGATATTATAAACAAATATAAAGAGTTCACTTTTGCTACAACACTGCCTAGTGCAGGGCTAAAACAAAAAAATCATGGCTTTGGATCGACTGCAGTGGCTCCACCAAGAAGTCAAGGTGGGGCCAAATCAAAGGCTTTGATTTAGTTGTTTCAGTGCAGGTTTACAACATAATCGTAGCAAATTTGGATTGATAAATAAATTGCTTTGGCAACCAGTCTATCTGCAAACGCTGAAACTGGCCTCGATCTGTTATCAGGTGGTTAACTTTGGTTACTGAATCTGGTATATATGGGGATCTAATTAACCAGAATCGATCCAATGGTCATCTGGGTTTTACTGCTCCTTGTGACCCGGCCCTTGCACACGGTTTTCAGTCAGAAGACTGGACAGAAATTTTCTTTCCCAGTTTAAAATATCAAATAAAAATTGAAGTTTTTAGATTAAATGGGTATTTGAGATGGTATTAAATCCTGTTTAAACAAATGGTCTAGTGTTCAATTCTTTTTCGTTGCCCCATTATAATTAATTAAATTTCAGTACAAGGTATGGATAAAATTTATTTTTGTATTTGCCCATGTTTCAAGCTAGTTGATAGTTTATTGCGTGATAAAATGAATATTTTAAGATAGATGGATGGAAAGACTAAAAATTATAATTAAAAATAAATGCATTAAATAAGCCTTAGAAGTAGCTCCAACCAATTACAAGATGAGGGAATGTTGATTGGGATGGTTTGGTGATGATGTGATTAATGCACTAATGTGAAGTAAGTTGGTGCACATAGAACACTCTAAAAGAGCAGGGGAAAGACCAAAGAAATTAAAATGTAATATGAAGTTTGAAGTGGTAAAAAATGATGTAAAAATTCATAATTTTACAGAAAAACATAGCTCTTGATAAAGTGCAAAGGCAATATGGGATTTGAGAAGAGAGAAGGCTAACAACTCCGGTGGTGGTTATAATATCATACAGAAACCACCTAATATTGCTTTTGTAATTTCATTATTACAAAAGATGTTTTAGTATGAAAGAATTTGCATTATTTACTAATTTAATTACAGCTTTTGTAATCTCAATATTACAAAAGATGTTTTAGTATCAAAGAATTTGCAYTATTTACTAATTTAATTACAATTAAGAATAAAATTTAAAACATGTTTTGGAAATCATACTTAATAGTAGTTTCAAATGTAGTGTGCTTTTTAATCTATGCAAACAATTTTCATGGTCTCATTTGGTTCTGTAATGGTCTGGACTGGGCTAGTCTAGGCTTTGGTTCTAAATCAATATGGTGTCATGGTCTCATTTGGTTCGTGGGAATAAGGGTCTGGAGTCGAACGGGAATGGCTCATTCTAATTCTAACTGTTTGGTTGGGTGGAATCGAAATCTTATTTTTATTTCTGGTGGAATAGAATTACTCCATTTGAAGGAATGACCATTTCCTCTCTTTCGATCTCCCTGTTGGGAATGAGATCCCATTCCATCTGATTCCAATTCCGATTTTAATTCTTATCTGAACCAAACAGACTATTCTGATTCCTATTCCAATTCTAAATCTGGCTACAAATAAAACAGATCTTATATGTAATTTATATCAATTATATATTATGAGCTGAGCCGGACTGGGCCTAAGCACAAAACCTGGGCACGAACAATACAAACCAATTTGTAGGTCACGTTGGGGATAGTATTGTAGGATCTCAGTTTGGGCTCGGCATCATTAGCAAAAAGAAAAAAAGGGGGGATTTGGGATTAGCATGAAACTTAAGAATCGACTATTAAATGGAATGAACTTTGACTTCAACGAGGGGTAGGCGCATGGCCCAATTTGGTCCCAGTTATGCATATCGGCATTTATTTTTCAACTATTTTAATTTCTAGACTGTTATTGAAATTATTAGGGCATTGGATTCGTGGTTGGGTTGTATCATGGCCATTAAAATCATAATTTGACTTTCTTGCACACAATATTATTTGTTCACCTATACACTTCCCTTATTTCTCTAATCACTAATGCCACTTAAAAGATTGTAAACCTTTGTTGGTGGATGCATTTGATCCGCCGGCCTAGATGTTCGGATGG